GTTACACGAAGCAGGGACAACAGAGAACTAGTAATTGTGCTATATTTCGATATAACAAAAGCCTTCGATAGAGTCCCCCATAATCTGCTAGTCAGCAGGTTATGCTCACTAGGGATATGTGACCCCCTCCTGAGCTGGATAAAATCATTTCTCTGTGACAGGAATCAGATAACAAAAGTTGGCTCGATAATCTCAAGGCCTAAACCAGTAAGTAGTGGTGTAATCCAGGGAAGTGTATTAGGCCCACTCCTATTCATAATATGTATAAACAGTATCTGTGAATGCTTTAGTGTTGGTAAACCAATACTATATGCAGATGACTTAAAAGTGACCTATAAATGCAAGAACACAGATCTCGGAATAACAGTAAACGCCATACAGCAAGAATTAGAAAAAATGGATAGATGGTGTGACACCTGGCAACTCCAGTTTAATGTCGACAAATGTGGCTGGCTCTGCATAGGTTGCAACAATTTAGAACTTGACCTGACAATTCAAGGCCATGCACTCTTACGACTGGAATCTGTATTGGACCTAGGACTGAAATACTCACGTAACTTACCACCTGTAAATTGTGACTGAATAATATGGTTCTATTTCCGCAACAATTTGATGATGCCTGCAAACTGGCGTCCCTCATGTACTGTACTATGAGAATAAATTTATTTATTTTATTTATATATATACGAGGGAAGATAATGGAAAAATGACAGTAAACACACTTTGCATAAGTTAAAAGAATTTATATGATATACATATTTATCTGTGTTATTCAAACAACTTATACCGATGCGAGTCTCACCAATGGCTGTGGACGGCTGAACTCTCACTTTCCGGTGGATGATGGGAAGCATTGGAATAACTGCAACTTTTGGTTTCACAAAGTTTGTACTGAGTTATCTCCATCAGATTATAGGAGATGCAGCGAGTCATCGTCTCCGTAGGTGTGCAAATTTTGTAGCAGCCCATTGGACGTACACATATAAGAGGCCGTAGAACTTCCTATGTCCAGAAGATTGAAGAAAATCACAGCTGAAGGAAAAGGCCAACATCTGGAACCGATACCGGGAATGATGACTTTGAACTGAGTCATGAGGGCGAAACAGAACCACATCCCGTAGCAGTAGATACAAAGGAGGAAAAGTGTGTCCGGAAGTCTGCAGCGGCATGCTAAAGTCACAAAAATCTAAGACGGCAAGCAGTGCCATCATTGTCTAAAATTCGCGCTGTCATACAGAGCTCAACAGCTACTCATTCACCCACTTGAAAAGCTAATACACCTCCAGTCCCAACTGCAGCAACCTCAGTTAACTGGTCTGCTGGTATACACCAGATTGCCAAGGAAGCTTGCACGGGAGTTTTTACCTTTTAATCTTGGTCTACGCCTCGAAAACTACCGCATAAACCACCTTGGACTAGCAATCAGGTAAGGGATTTACTAAGAAAACGGAAGAACTTATGGGACCTGTTTACTGTGATTGGGAGGGATGAGTTTCAGATGGAATACCAAAAAATTCGAAACCTTTGTAAGTATGTGATTGACGTAAGTCTTATAGGGTATGAGAGACAGTTAATACTAGATTGTGTGCATTAGCCAAAAAGTTTATACTCGTATTTTTTTGACATAGGACTAAAACTAGAAGTGGTATACCGTCACTGATAAGCAGTACCGGGAAGTCGGACGATCCAGACGAAAGAAAAGCGCAAAAGCTTTCAGAATACTTTTGCAATGTCTCTTTCTAATCATACCACTCAGGGGTACAGCGAAGTCTGTGCTGTAGCCAATAAAATACCCCCAGCTGTGGTAGAGAATGCAGTGGTCCTCAAACTGCTTTCTAAAATGAAGCCAGGTAAATCACCTGGGCTCGACGAACTTGTCCCCAGACTGCTAATCGCTTTGGCGTATAAAATATGCATTCCACTTACGATGAATTTTCACTTGTCTGTGACCCAAGCAAGGGTACTCAGGGGTGGGAAACAGGCAGTTAGTATCTAACTACCGGCCTATAAGTCGGATCTGCATTATAGCAGAGATATTAGAAACGCTCATAAGGGATCAGCTCTTAGATCATATGGAGAAACATGGCTTACTGACGGTGGAACAGCATGGATTCCGACCACGGCGACCACGCCTGACAAACCTAATGTCAGCTAGGGAAGACTGGGTCGAAGTCAGGGATAAGAACCATATAGTGGATGTTTTCTTCACCAATCTTGGTTAAACATTCCAAAAAATATCCCATTCAAGTCTCCTTAGTAAACTCAAGTGTGTTGGATTGCCATCAGGCTGGAAAGTAGTGCCAAGTGGAGTACATCAGAGAACTGCACTTGGCCTCTGCTATTGGTATTATACGTAAATGAAATGACGAAAATTCTTAGCTCATCTTCCTTCTTATTTGCCCACGATATTAGGATATGGAAAGCCGCAAATAGTAACGATGATAGGTTGGTACTACGAAACAATCTAGATAAGTTAGCTGAATGAGCTGACCTCTGGAGTCTGGAAATTAGTTCTAAGAAAAGGTCAGAGAAATAGTTTTTGCTCGAACCGTCATCAGTTAATATTACTGTATAACACTGCATGCTTTATTAAAATAAAATCTTATCCACAATGGAGAAAAGGTCAGAGGTCTTACACGTCGTACGCCTTCGGGAACACAGAACTTCTAGACGTTAAGGGAAGAAAAAACCTGGAAATTATTGTAAGCAAAGACTTGAAAACAATGGCGAATTGTAATAGAGCTTTTCGAATGCTATGGGTACTTCTAAGGGCTTCCAAGCGTTTAAACTAGTGTATGTTCCAAGCACTCTATGCAACACACGTGAGACCTCATCCAGAATACTGCATCCAAGCGAGGAGTCCATGCTTCAAAAAGGAAGCACATATTCTGGAAAGAGCGCAGAGGATAGGAACCAAATCCACTAGTGGTATCTCACTTCTCCCATACGACAAGAGAATGGAGCATTTAAATCTGCTCTCATTATCACACCGAAGGAGGAGAGGCAACTTAATTTCGGCACACTGTACATTAGAGGGCGATTTGAGGACTGACCTGTTAAATCTTTTCGCTCCCTCTAGGATACATTTACGAGGTTAACACAAGAAGGTGCTCAAACTGAAGTCGTATATAATACGTGCCGAACTTAGACTCTCTTTCAGAGTGGCCAACGGCTGGATCTCTTTACCTGATTCAGTAGTAACAGCTCTATCGGTGAACGCTTTCAAAGCTTTCATAAACTACCTGCATCGCTGTTTTTCTTCAGCTTATGTGTTTTGCAGAACATGTGACTTCCTCAAATAACACGCAACCACACGTGGGTGTGGCTCTGACATGGTTGATGCCTGAAGAAATGGGTTTTCATTGTTAGAGGAGACTAACATTCAGAAATCAAAACGCCTTTCAAAAAGAATTCAGAAACCTAATACCCTTTGGAACCGATCCTATGACTCGAAAAAGTTTAGAGGAAGCGGGTCATGATACTATCGGGGTGGTTTCATAAATTTTGACACCTCAGTGATTGATAGGTGGAGAAATGCACGAAACCCAAAATAGAAGTATTCATTAATGTTGTGACAGCTTACTTAAGCCACGTAGCTAAATTCAGTTAGTCACGTCAGTTAGCATCATTTTACATTATTGACAAGTAGGAATGTTGCACGAAAATCTAAGTGCAGTGTGATGCAGTGTCAGCGAGAGTACTTGACTTAGTGACTTCGGTTTCAACTTGTGTTTGTACTGGAGAATTAAATGTTGCTGTAGATCACTTCCCATGTTGAAGCCGGGAAAAATGCTAAAGCAAACCACTCCATCGGGTAAATTATGAAGGTTTTGTCATGAGGAAAGCCTTATTAGGTGGCATGCTTTCTGTAGTAAGCTAATGTTCGGCTTTTTAGGAGGAGACATTTGTTTAGTGCTCATTTCGCCTTGATATAAGAATCAAACTTGTGCACTGTGGTAGATTGTAACTCCATTATCCAGCAGCCTGTAAATTCTAACTTCTAATTCCCGATATATATATATATATACAATATATAGTTTCTTATGGTGTGAAGTTGCCAGCCCCACACCCAACGTTTCCTCTTTTTATGACTTCCATTATGGGTAAATTTTGTTTTGATTAAGTCTCACAGTGTTATACAGGAATGTTTACTGATGACCACGTTTCGAGAACAATTTATCGCTCATAATCATATCGGTCACACCTTGATATGATTATGAGCAATAAATTGTGCTCGAAACGTCATCAGTAAACATGACTGTATAAAGCTGTGAGACTTTATCAAAGCAAAATTTACCCATAATGGACTCATTTCACTTTATAAGAAGTAATCTTTCCAAATGTAGAGTAAAATCAAGCATCACTGAAAAGGAGTTTAGAGACTGACGGTATTGACTTTCGAGGATTGTACGGAGTATACTGACGCAAGATCTAATACCGACAACTTCTATATTGTTCGTTCCGCGTAGACCAAAGGCAAAGCAAAAGACACGATTCGATCCTCCAAATTACGAGATATGTTTCGGGACCAAACTGTAGTGCGGGACGACTGCTTAGCTGGCTAGTGATCATGCACGAACGTAACACGACGGAGTACCAAATGGCATAGATGCTTGACTGGAGGCCTTCAGCTAAACAAGTCGACATAAACAGTAAGGGTCAGCATCCAATGTTCACTGATGAGTGCTGTGGTGAATAATTTTGGGGAATTATTTACCGTTACAGGAGCGTGGAGTATAGACAATAGCAAGTTTTACACAGTAGAAGTGACGTAAGCCACAGCAGAAATTCTAGAATACTGGATTAAATAGTGGAGAAACTAAGCATTTCGTGAGAAAATTGTTAAAAAAAGTGTAGCTCAGAAATCCATATAACAATGATATTGATTATTATTGCAGAAGTGAACATATTTTGGAAACCTTACAGTTCAATGCCAGTACACCTTCTTTCCTGATGTAAATGGGTCATGCTTTATTATTGGAAATACCATAGCTCGTTTCACAAACATTAAATTCGCTAATATGTAGGCCACTTGCAAGGCCTTTACAAGGCGGCAACTACGGAATTCTTCATCGAAATGTCTGCTTCGCTTTTATTCGATGAAATAGCTTATGAAAAGCTTTCTGAAGTCAAAAAGCCTATATTTGTCTTTGATTGGCTGTGTTCTTTAGAGACCCGGTTATTGACAGAAAACAAAAGTGTCATTAAAGAATGCCAAGAAGATTTAGTGCAGCAGTTGCTATCTCATTTGACACATGCACCTGGTCGTCCAACTCATAAATTACTTGGTCGTTGTTTTGCAAACCTTTTCTTGGTTGGGGACTCTCTTCTCCTTTACACTGCAGTTAACACATGCAACGCGCTTCTCAAAAGTCGTGATGATGCACCTGCTTGCATTAATAGTCGACTAGCGGCATTGAGCTGCCTTGGAGCGATATATAAACGTCTTGGTCGAATGATTGGTCGTACTTTTGAAGACAGTGTTATCATAATGGCGAAGCTTATCAAGCAGGTAATATGTTTTCCACACCTGCAAGTGTTGTTTTCATCACTATTTTAGTGGCATATTAAGCATAGGGTACTCGAAGTACTCATCACTTATAGTGCTAAGAACTTGTAGGTTTTAAGTTCTACTGTAAACTAATTGTGTCTTTAGAGAAAGGAAGTCATGTGAGTGTTAGCACTGTAGATTACACCTAATTAAGTTTATTTATTTTTAGTGATCTTTAGGCTCTATTTCATCAGATTGTAAACAGAGGTAGAGGACAGAGAGCTTTCTCACCACTTAGGGTCCATTCACCTAGGATGTTCTGTCGTGGAACTATTTTATTTCAGTTTCCGCTCTAGCATATGTCGTGACACTGATATTTTTTATTCCTGGTGCTGATGGTGCTGAGATGAAGTATACCTTTTCGACTGGTTTTATTTGCTTGTCTGAGTGATGCAGTTTTCATCAGTTTGGAACTTTTTCGATCGTGCTTGCTTAAAAAACTAGAATTTACGGAATTTCCATCGTGAATCTTAATGTATTACAATGGTAACCAGTCTTATCTGACTTCTCTTCCTCAGAATAGGAAGGCAGCATTAACTAATACACCCCTCTTTTGAAGGCAACACTCTTTGCATTATAAAAACGACCCTCACCTCAACCCTCATACTCCATTCAATCTACATAGCATGTTAGGATCTCCAGAAGTAATTATTGTAGCTCATTCAGCCATTGCGATATGTAAGCCTAATCATACCACCAAAACGACATTTGTCAGTTGGGAAAATTCATTCTGACTTAGTTTCCATATGGAAACTTGTTCAGTATTTTATTCTGCTTGTAAGTGGATATTATCAATATTACTGCTATACAACTTGCAATTTGGAGGTGATTCCATATTAATTTGATTATTAAATGTATCACACAGTGAAACAGTATTGTATACTGGATGACGTTTCGAACACAATTTATTGTTCATAATCATATCAATTTTTTGGAGGTGAGTTTTATTCTCGTGGGTATTTTATCCTTAAGTCAGAGAAATCAATATGGTGTTATCGTCTTCTCGCACTAATGTATGGTTAGCTTATCATACTTCAGTTCACTAGTGCAATATAGCAAAGTTTTGCACTTCCATGACTTTTGGACTCTGCGGTCAGGAACCCCATAGTCATAATGTCTTAAGGTAGTTCTGTAGTACAACAGAGTGTATTATGATACGGTGGTCAGTATTCACTTAGTCATGTTATCTTAAAACACCATCTGTAATGATGTTGGTAAGTCTTACTTACACCATTTATTGTCTTCTGCTCTTTCAGTCTTGTGAGGAACTAAGTGAGGGCTACTTCATTATTCAGAGCTGTGAGATGAAAGATATGTTAATTTATAATCGTTGAATGTATCAACATGTTTTTAAACAGGGTTCCGAAAAGTGTGTGACTATGACTCAAAAGCTGTAGTAATTTTAATACATTTTCTTCACGATTTAAATTATTATCATTAGTTGTATTTACCGACCTTCTGTGGCATTTCATGTCTTATCAACTTCTGCACATCTAAGCAAAACGCTATTCATCATTTGTCGTGAGTTTCTTGTAGCCTATACTTTAAAAAGTTTTCTTTTAAGTCATAATAAATTAAATTTGCAATAAAGTAAGTAAACTGTGAAAGTACTTATTGAGCTATTGCTTTTCTTTTGTAGTCCGAGTCCCAAGTTCGCTGTGAAACTATGAATACGTTTTGCAGTTTAATTGAAGGCGTTGGTTCAGCTAGTGCTGTATGTCATAAGGAGATATACAAAGCAGCAAAAATCTGTATGACAGACCGTGTACTTTATGTGCGTGTTGCGGCTGCGAAGGTGGGTATCTTTTGCTGTTGTAGAATTCATTTATTCTGTATTTATACTAAATGTGACTCATGAATATTAGTAAGCATCTGCGTTGTGTGGATGTAGATGCAATATAAATGCAGATATACTGGAGAATATTCTTACCCTGACCTTATGCATATCTCAATCACTAGATATTATTTCATTATTGACATTTTGAAAGCATCTGTTTTCTTATCGTTCATCAGTAATTGTTTTATTTGATAGTGTTTGGTAACATGCTGATGGCAGTTGTTCATCAGAAATGTTTGACATAACAGAGAATTTCAGAGTATTGAGAGCATGATTGGAGATTCGTTCAGGTATAATAATAGTAGGATTAAATATAAATTTAAAGTGAAGGGAATTAAGAGGTTTCTTTGAACCTGATATCCTCTCATAATTTTCGAGATACTTGTGTGAGTAGAAGTTTTCACGAGTTAGTATTCAGATAGTTTTGATACAATTTTATTCACTAGAAGACTTTTTTTAGATAAAACGTGTTGTATGTAGTTATAACAGTCATCCCATTTTAAGTGCTGTATATCAATTATATTCCAAACGGTCAATGTATTAATTCTATTTTAGAAATATTCATTGTCTTTAAATTTTCTTCTTGGTGAATGCATTCACTATGATTTTATAAAGGGGTTGAAATAACAATTAAGTTTACTCTAGTTAGTGTACTGCCTCGCTATGTTGCATCAATAAGGCTATTGTGCCTTTAAACGCATTCAGGATACTCCTTTATGATGAGTAAATATTCCTTTTTTTCAAGAGCGTATCTGATCCAAGATAAATTCGTTTCTTTTACTTTATTTCTTCTTCATTCTTTAGTGTCTCTACTTCTTAGTTGATCATTCGCAAACAATTCATACCAGTGAATTAGAAGCCACAGTCAGTCTATGTCTTCGATGCATGGATGGAGCTAATTATGCAACTCGTATTGAAGCCTCACGAACTCTTGGTCATCTGTTGGCAAAAACTCAGCGTAAAAAAGTTAATGATCCAGGGTCTGATGCATCTAATAGTGGCTCTACTGGAGCATCCAGTAAGTTGACACATGTTAGAAACGTTATTTTCTTTTAACCTTCACGCAGTTGGAGAGTTCTCCTTATATATTATCAATAGCGGATGATTCACTTTGTGGTGGTTATTCAAAGATGTAATGAAGTGATTTTTAGAATCTCTGGTAAATAATATGGTAGTTCTCTTTGTCTAGCATTTATCTGTTTTTAGACTTAGGAAATGTGTTTTTGTTTGTAAAATAGTTGTTGACAAATCTGCTATATTCTAAGTTTGTTTGGACAAGTTTAAAATTTACACTTCTGGTGAATTAACATTTTTTAACAGATATTGATTGTCTGTCTATTCTACAGTATTCATCTAGTTTTAGTTCTCAGCAGTCAAGTTTTTTAAACCTTTTGCATAAAACTAATGCGCAAGGATTAGGTTAGTAAGTGGGCCTTATAGCTCAGCTCATTGGACGTCAGTCTGCTAGTTTGGAGTTCGCTCTTTTGAATCCTGTTGTAATCCAGGTTTTCATTTTAACTTCAATCGGTACCCATTATGTGAGTTTCAGTCTCCCAATTCACGGTTCTCTCAAATGATTCCATCAGAAATTGCTTTTTAACGTATTAGTTTATGTAAACACTGGCTAGTTAGAGATAGTTGAGTTGAATTTAGACTTATTTCTGGTTTTTCTTTAGATTTTCGTCATTTTTTTCGTGTTACACGTGTATAACCAGTTTATAAATAGTAAAAATATTAAATAGTGAAACTCAAATGCATTTTTATATACTATATTTTATAAGGTGCACTTGGTTGTATAAAAGTTTATGACACTACTCAGTTACCCAGGTAGAAAAAAATAACGTGGTATCTGAACTTGAAGCTATCTAGTTGATAGTTCTATAAGTCAATGGACTATATATTCACATCTTGGTGTAGTTGTATTCTGTTTGTTGCATGTTTTATCTGTAAAGTCTTCATTGTCTTTCCAGACAGCTTTATTTAAGACTTCAGTATGAAGTTTAAAGTGTTTAACAGAATTAGACCAATATTTGTAAGTCCGAGGTCAGATTTTGATCACAGCTCATACAATTTTGTTTATTATACATTATAAATTATTTAAATTAATCCCAGCGTGTTAACAAAATCAAAACAAAATTTTTCTGAACGTTTCACCGTGTAAGACACAGCTTCTTCAGCAGATAAATCTGCTGACTCGGCTCTGAAATTATTCCAGGAAGTTCGTAACACCTACGGTCTGGAAACCTATGATTTGTTCATTATACTTGTTGGCACTTGCTTTATGACTCATGATTGGACAAAGTTTTTAAAAACAAGAAATGTTCCTTTTATATATAAACATCTGTTGTGTTAATTTTGATTAATTTCCCTGAAGAAGTTCGGACCAGATTGCCTAACGAAACGTTGGAATTACTCATTTCAATTTCTCTGAGATTTTACAAATGTCTACTTCTCACTCGGTGCCCAGATATTTTAGAACTATTCTGTCAAATCTCGACGACAGTTCATTTCAAATGATATAATTATCAGTCTTGATGATCTTTAATCGCGACTAGTCTTCAATTTGCATTACTATCGGTCGATTTGTTAAATTAGAATTTGACTTTGTCATTTGACTTGTTCTTTATTAGTTGCTAAACTTAATCTATGATATAATTTCTGCTGACCGTAGGTTCGTCTGAGTACCAACCTTGTAGAGATTCTTTGGTATTTTTTGGCGCTTCTTTAGTCTAAGATTTGTCCATAGATGTTAGCATGCATTCATATGAACAAGTAATAATCATGTCATTTGATAGCTAGTTTGTTTTCGTGGATGCGAAGACGACCAGTATAATGTTTCCCACAGTTGTTGCAGTTTATCTTGGAGATGACTTCCGTTTTGTCTTTTGCTGTTGCACCTTTTGGTTGACACTGTACAGATTGTTGGTTTGTGGGCGACATCTTTCTTAGAAGGTTTCAACAATTTTGAAGTGATTTCAGTGATATTCTTTATGTATGGTAGGAGGGTTTTCTTCGTGCTTTCATTGGACGATTTTGAGTTGGTGGTCAGTTGGGTTAAGGGTAGGTATCTTTTGATAAAGTTCAGTGGGTGGGCACCCGTTTTTTTTCTGGAGGAGGCTCATAAGATATTTTTCATCTACTCCTCTCAAGGCAAGGGTGCTGAAGTGAAGCCTGGCTTTTTTGAATAATAGTTGTATCCAACTTCTTTTATGTGCTCTTGGGTTCTTACTGTCATAGTCAAGTATTTTATCCGTATGAGTCGATTTTCTGTATACTTGAGTTTCTAATTTTCCTGTGTTTGTTCTCTTGACTAAGATGTTTAAAAATGGGACTTTGTCTTCACGAATGTGTTATCCATGTAACGTTTAGTGGGTTTTCTCCACACCTGTTTTAATTTTATCAATGTATAGTGATGAAAAGGAGCCATACCTTAATTAATAGAAATGTAGGCCACTGAATCATGTCGTGATAATCAACCGGAAATGAATCTCTCCCTAAGAAATCGTGGACAGTGAATTTGATCAGCTGATTAATATTCTCTAGTTGTCAGTCGTTCTTTAGTTAGTGCATAGGTCATATCTTCACTCTTCGACAGATTCTAGAACATAGACACACTTTTCGGCGTCCAACAATTGTCATATTTCTTGACTTGAAGGCGGCCTTCGACTTCGTGGATCGAAAGGTACTATGGCAATGTCTGACTGTGAAGGGAGTGCCAAGAAAGTACATTGCACTAATCAAGGCACTCTATTCAAACTCACGTAGTCGTGTAAGGGCTTATGGGGAATTGTCATCTGAATTGGTAACAACCAGTGGTGTCCGACAGGGATGTCCACTTTCCCCATTTCTGTTTAACTTCATCATAGATATGCTGATGGAAGTATCCTTAACTGAACGTAATGACTTAGGAATCGACTTGTTACCAGGGAATAGTCTTCTGGACTTAGAATATGCAGATGACATAGTCCTGTTAGGGGAGGATGCTGACAAAATGCAGAGTCTTCTGAACACCTTGAGCAGCAATCTTCGTATTTTTGGCATGCGATTCGCCCCTGCAAAATGTAAGATGCTGCTACAGGACTGGACCCCGTCAACCCCTAACTTAGTGATAGGGAGTGAAGTGATAGAACATGTTGACCACTTCACCTATTTGGGAAGTTGTATTAGCACCAACGGACTGATTGGCGATGAAATCTCAGCACGGATCCGAAAAGCTCGAGCTGCTTTCGCTGACTTACACCATCTCTGGCGTAGGCGTGACATCCGGTTATCAACCAAGGGACGTGTGTACTGCTCATCAGTTCACTCCGTCCTTCTCTATGGCTCTGAAACATGGCCAATGCGAGTTGAAGACATGAAAAGGTTGACTGCTTTCGATCATAGATGTCTGCGATCTCTGTCTCACGTTAGGTGGTTTCACAAGATAAGTAATGTTGACGTTAGGCGTAGAGTGTTGGGCAAAGAGGGAAAATCAATCGACGAGGCTATAAAGTTACATAGATTGAGATGGCTAGGTCACGTGCTGCGCATGCCTAACCACCGCCTCCCCCGACGGGCTTTGCTAGCTGATATAGGTTCAGGTTGGAAAAGAGCCAGTGGTGGCCAAACAAAAACATGGCATCAATCCATGAAATCCTTGACAGTTAAACTGAGTCAGGTAGGGAGATGCAGACTTCCGGGTTGGGGCCCTCGGGACTCTAGGAATCAATGGCTGGAGACAATAGGTGACATGGCTCAAAATCGTTGTCAATGGCGCAGATGTATTCAGTCTCTGTAATCTTTCATATTCCTTTCTACCATTACCCATTCTGTTTCATTCTTATACTTGTCAAACTCTATTGATTCTCTTCACTCATCTTCTTGTCTACCTTGTGTGCCAATTGGAACGTGGCAACTCGAACTGCTGCACTTCGGTGCCAAGTTCTATGCTGAATCCAGACAGACAGACAGTACCAATCTGCTCTTGAAACAGTTTCATGATCACACCTAAAAAAACCCAGTGTTCCTGTGTTTATCGAAATTAAGATAGTCTATAATTAGATATTTTATGATGTAAATGAATACTGGATGTTCCAAGATAGCTGCTTACTATACTAGCAGGTCTATCTAACGTTCTATTTGAAAGAAATCAATGTATCAGGGTTTATTAAAAGGCGTATTATTCCCGGAAATAGCCTTTATTTGGAGATAAGATTATATCGGATGGAACTTCGTTTTGTAGGTCATAATGTCGCAAATAATGTAGTCGCTTTAGTGTCACAAAATACTATCATAGTATGATATTGAACTGTTTGTATCTAAAAACTCAACAAATCGTTAACGTTTCAACTATCTTTCCCTATCTAGTGAAGATCTAATATTTTTATATATGTGTACATATGTACAGCAGTGCTATTAAGTAGGCTAGATCGAGGACAAAATTTTCGAACTATGGTTGACTCGGATTCTTAATTGCTAACTTCTCTTAAGATGAATGTATCTTAAGTCAGCTCTATGGAGCTCCTTCTGTCAGTCAAATAATCCTATGGACAATATAAAACTTTATTTGTCAGTCTTCAGAAAGGTAGTCGTTTGAATCTCCTATAACCATCATATTCTGTTATCAGTAAGTCATTAAGTGCACTTCACTGTTGCTGGGTAAATGCTCTTAACGGTTAAGAAAGGTTTCAATATAGAATTTGTCACAAACCAACATCAGTTAAAGAATCAGGGAACATTAGACAGCTGTTTTGTCATAGTGTGGGACTCTTCATCGGTGTTAACGAACCCTGAGTTTCCAGGTTACGAGATCAGCTCGTTGACCATTTAACCCCTGGACCGAATACATGTTAAAGTAGACCTTAAAGTGTTCAAATACAAACTTATTTACATGAATATTGAGTTCGGATTCTTTTTCTCCGACTCTTTTTTAAAACAAACTAAAGGGTCCAGCAACTTTCGTCGGTAATTGCTCTAGTCATGATGTAAAGAACTTTTTATCGAATTTATTGCCAGCTACGTGATGAATTGCAAAGTATTTGCCGTATCAAGATGCATTTATGCCATAAAACTTCTTTTATTCAGAAAATATAGGCTATGACAAAACTGACAAAACTCCAACTCTCTTTTATTCACTTAACAATATTTAAGTTTATTAAACGTTGAGACGATGTATGCAATTTTTAAACATGATAAAGTCTATTCATAGATATGTAAAGCATTTTAGGACAAATTTATGTACGAAAAAGGTATACCGAAAGGCATTTATAGTAGTTGTCTTGTCGTGTCATGCAAAAATGCAACAGTTTGTCCAATACCATGGATATAATAAATAAATAAACAATCTTCTCTATCATATCTAAATAAATAAACAAATCCGTCATAGCACAGAATTCATTCCAGTCAGTGTCATATTCATAAGCGGCTTATAGAATGAAATGAAAATGCATTTGTCTCTATGCTGCTGTTGTTGTTAATGGAACAGAAATGCTTAAGGGGGATTTACATACAAGCATACAAGCAGAACAGCGATATTGACATACAGAGATGACAGTAGTAGCGGCGGTATGCACTCAGAGAAGAAGAAAAATGCCTGTCACTAGAATTCAACTGTCGAGTCTACTTTTCAATGCCTTGACATCTTTATCGTGTACATTTCCGTATTTGTGTGTGTGTGTTCGCGTGCTTGTGTGCTGCATTGACATCAAGTAGGATGAATAAAAGTAAGTATTCTTCATAAGCTAGCTGTAATTATTACTACATGTTTAGAAATGAGGTAAAAAAGTATTTGTAAGAAATTATATGCTTCAGGATGTGTCTAAATTTATAAATTAAGTTTTCGTGTAATACACTATTTGTTACATGACTTTAAATCGTTACTATATGGTTTTTTCTAGTGGAAGTTGTCAAACTTTGACAAGTGAAGGTTTTGTGTGTGTGTGTGTGTGTGTGCGTATATGGCTTCTTGTTTTTAGCAACCCGACTTTCATCCAGCTGACTTCAGGTCCAAACCTATTCAACTTTCTTCAGTCTAATTAATCGGTCAGTATAGTAAGCATGATGACTCAGTGTACTGCACAGAAAAGCAAAAAAAAGCATTGATGGCTGACTATGAACAAGTAAAGGACCATCTAGGCTTTTTCAAACTGTTCTGCAAAACCCAGTGTAAGTGTGAGGAGTGAAAGATCTCCAGTGGTGGTTAATAATGAAGGAGTTTTTGAATAACCAGGATATCTCCTTTTTTTCTCTCCTTCTGACAGCTCAAATGCTCACTAAATTCTTTGGGAATGGAATGGAATATTTAAGGTAACCAGTCAGCAGATTGCTCACCTTCATTATAACATTAAGAAGCATGTATGTGTGTGTGTGCGGGTACTGAGTTGTATGTACTGTTATACTGAGACTCAGTTCGACTGGGAGAATTTGGGAATCCTTCAGTTTATTATGTGACGCAATGGATTGCAGTATTCATCCAGAAGACTCTTACAGGGTGACAGTGTGGTGGTGTGATACAGACAATGTGTTCCAATGGATTATTATTCTTACATATTCCCACAGTTCAATAGTGCATTAGCAACGGAATACTATGTGTATTTGAACATTCTATTTCATGTCATTTAATGTAAAATAAAATCACACGCTCAGTGAATGGTTAAAGAATATAAATACTGTATAGATATAAACAACGGTTTGATCACGTGGATATACACCTTGGCTTCCATGTCTTCCCTTCTGCTATTACAGTAGTACATTATATTACTCTTGTGTTGAAATGAGTTGACCGTATAATTTGCAAGATATAACTGAAAAAATAGTAAACTTTTTGTTATTTTCTATAAATCTGTCCTATCAAGGTGTATCATCACCACTGTTGAATAAAAAAGTAGGCTGTTTCATCAAATACTTATTCTTCCATCTTCAATAAGCACGTACTGTTATGCTTCTTTTATCATTCTTTTGCATTCTGAGTTGTGGTGGTGGTGGTGATGGGAGATATAGGGCTTCAAGCTTGAGTTTTGAAGTTTCAGCAGTGCTGGTAGTATTGCTTTTGTGGCGTCGGGTTGCTAATCATCTCACACCTAACCTTTCCTTTTATTTTCCATATTTACTATCGAATAAACAAAGTTTAGAAATGTGTCTGGGGGGGGGGGAATCTGTCTGTCTGTTTTCGACATAGAACTTTGCACAAATGTGCGGAAGTTCAAGTCGCCACACTCCGTGTAGCACGCGAAGCAAGAGAAGAAAGTACAAGAAAAGCATAATAGCGACAGTGAGCAGGGGGGCAATCGAAACTATACTGACCACATTCGTGGTTGGCGAGCATTCTACCATTGAACCTTCTTACTTCAATTTATTTTTATTCTTCAAATTCATTTATAATTCTTACTTCAACGATAATGATGACGGTGTTTATCTTCTATTCCGTTTCTGTTTTAAGCATTAGTAATGTAGAGGAAGTTAATAAAAGCTGAAAATATTAGTGCATTTGTAAAGTATATTCAGCTTAGAGTGATTGTGCTATGAAATACATACGATTATGTAACATTCTAATAAAAGGGGGAATGATCATATCAGTATGTGCTGTTACATTGTAACACTAGAGGACGCTAGACTTGGTAAAGAAATGTTTATTTACAATTTGGTATGTCTATATAGCGAAATTATGTACACCTTATCTTCAACGCACCATCTGCACAGACCTTCCATGTTGTGCTAATTCTGACCTTCCTTCGTATTGTTTTTCTCTATGTTCCTTTCATTCCACCCAAGTCCCATGTATCTCTCGGCTATTTGATGTTTTTAAGCCAACAAATGCCTCTCTATATACTACTCTTAAATCTTATCAGTAGCACGCGCCACAATGCTACTACTTGCTTTCAGTTCAGTGATACGTTGGATTATTTATCCTCAGTTTAGTTTCTACTCTCCTTTACCTTCATCTAGTCAACTAGGTTTTAGTTGAACACGTAGCTCAACGGTTTAAGCACTTTATTTTCAGCCAATAACTACACGGTTCAGTTGTCTCTGCACCTGCTTTAACCTGGACAGCTGTGTAGTGTTGTCATCATCCTTCACATAAATAATATCTATGGGTTATAGCCGCCTGGAAAATGATGAAAGACCTGCTGCTCTACGCAACTGAGTCCAAATAAACAAACAAGCAAATTGGGTTGTGTCTTTAACTTATTGATTAGTAGAGTGTACTAATAAATTATGTACACTAGATGAACTTATTGTTTAATATTCACTTTCGCTACTCATATTCATGTTTTATCGCCACTTTTTTTTAAAAATTTACCTTTATCTAGGTAATTCACGAAATAAAACTGTTACGCTGACAGATGCATTGTCATTATTGTCTTCAGGATTTTTGAAAGGTCCAGGTGGATTTTTAAAAGGAACAAGTGCTACTGATATGATTAAAGGGACTAGTCCAGTGAATCGAGAAGTTCGTGTTGGTGTGACCTATGTAAGTATATAGTAAATGTATATCTATATGAGGATGGTGTTTTATATATATATATATATATATATATATATATATATATATATATATATATATATATGACTGAGTTTAAACCTATATAACGTTCATTTACTTTATTATTGTCATTATTATTTTGTTATGGTCTAAAATAACTTCCCAAATTCAATTGTTTATGCTTAAATGACCCACCAATTAAAAAAAACTATTATGCTTTCGTGTGTAAAGTAAAAGCTGACGTCTTAAGACCCTATGTGCGTAAAGGTTGGGAAGGTATATTGATTGAAATGGCTAGGACGACATGTGTTGTGCATGCTAGTCGATTGCCTTCTTCACTGAGCAATATTAGCGAACATAACATTAGATTGGAAAAGGGTAAAGGGGGTGGGGTTAGACCGAAAGCTGGAATCAATCCGTCAAGTCATTGACGGTTGGTTTGAGTCACCCATTTAGGGAGGTATAGACTGTTTGGATGAGGTTATAGAGATGCTAAGAATCGATGGCTAGAGACTGTTGGCTAATATGACTCTGGATCGTTCTCAGTGGTACAGATGCATTTCTAGTCTCCTATATTCATTGGATCCTCATTATCCTCCATATGCTCATTCTTTCTGCTGTACTTTTGTGCTCATTATAATTCTTTTGAGTTTTTTCTCTGTCTTATTGTGCTATATTCAGTTTGCTGCACTTTTGTATAGTGTTCAACGTTAAAAACTCAGTCAATCAATATGCATAAGGTGTATTAATTTTTCGTTGGAGTGAAGTCTATGAAAAAAACCTGGGTAGAATTAAGCAGAATCTTTCCACTCTTATTTTGTTAGAAGTTTTGTATAACTTCCTATGTTTCCTCTCGTGCTACATACTTTAACGTATATTTCTATGATACTTAGTAAGTATGCTTATTACTGTTCTTGCTGTTTGCAAAGTACTGTGATGACATTGGCTGGAGACTGTGTTCTCATTGGCCCTCAGAGGTGAACTGTTGAAAGTGGACGCATAGTTCGTGTATCTGTGTAGTTGTGAGTATTAGTGTAACACTAGAGGACGCGAGACTTAGTAAATGAATGTTTATTTGGAATTTGATATGTCTATATAGACGTATAATATACATCTTGCTTTGAGTGCACCATTTGCACAGATCTTACGTGTTGTGCTACTTGTGACCTTCATATTGTGTGTGCTTCTTTGTTTTCTTTTCACGTCTCCTATGTATCTCCGGAAAGCTATATCATTTGCTTTCTCTGACATTAAATGCATCTCCCTGCTATTTGATGTTTTTATGCCGATGAACATCTCTTTATATATATGCTACTGATAAGATTTATGAGTAGCATACGCCACACTAGCAGTGATGGAATTTACAATCGATAGAGGAAACCATGGAAGTATTGATGTTGTTGTCATCATCAAAGGTTTTCTTTGCAACTTTTCATTGGCTTTAGTCTTGTTGTATTACTGTACTTGGCTTTCATGAGCTGAGGGTCTGTGACGATTTTGCTTGGTGATTGTTGTTCTCATAGAATCGCTAACATTTAGTAGACTCAAATTGTTAGTGATTTTAAAGTCTAACATGGCGAGGATCGTCTTCCAATAAATTATGTTACTTTAGGATACCGGCTTTTGTGGCTTGAGTATGCATTACGAATATCATTCCAGCTGCCTCTATACTATTCACCACATACTAGTCCTGAGAGGAGTGGCTTGAGAAAGCGAACAGGGAATCAGTTCATAACGTGTCATGGAATGAAGGGAATCTGTCTTATGTTACCGTGTATTGGTATATCACGACTCTGTGGATTGTCTGTCTGTTTTCGACATAGAACTTTGCACCGATGTGCACCAGTTCAAGTCGCCACACTCCCCCCTCCCCCATGTAGCACACAAAGCAACAGAAGAAAGTAGAAGAAATGCATAATAGAGACAGTAAACAGAGGTGTGAGACAAAGGAATAGTAGTAACGAAGAACAAAACAGTTTCATTGGAAGGCATAAGTCACAAGGAGTGGATGCATCTGAGGTAGCCATTGAGGACTATTTTGAGCCATATCACCAATTGTTTCCAACCATTGGCTTTTACAGTCCCGAGGACCCCAACCGGTCAGGAAGTCTACACCTCCCTATGTGGCTTAAACTAACTGTTGTGGATTTCATTGACTGACGAAGCCATGTTTTGGTTTGACCACCACTGCCTCTTTTCCAACTTGACCCTATATCAGCTAACATTGTCCATTGTTGAGGAAGGCGATGACTAGGCATACGTAACACGTGTCCTAACCATCTCACTCGATGTAATTTTACAGCCTCGTCGATTGATTTCCCCTCCTTACCTAGAACTCGACTGAAGCCTAACCTCAATATTGCTCACCTTATTATACCACTTCACATGGGAGATAGAGCGCAGACACTTATGATCAAAGAAAGCTAGCCAGCATTTTCATGTCTTCCACTCTCATTGGCCAGGTCTCACAGCTAGTCATGAAGGAAGACTGAGCGGACTGATGATCAGTACACCCGCCCTTTGGTCGACAGCCAGTCGGATATCACGTCTGGCATATGCGAAACTAGCCCTCTGTATCCGTGCTGAGACTTCGTCAGAGATCAATCCGTTGGGGCTAATTAGGTGCAAGAAATCAGGTGACTCAATGGTTTGAGACTTTGTTAAATGTGTCCTAGATTCAAAATCACTGGGAATATGCTGTAACACTTAAAAACAAATAAGCTGGTTGAAAATAGTGTCATACTACTAGAATATGTTTATCATTATAATAGCCCAAGCTCTATTCGTTTTCTCTTGTCTTTTCCATATTAATGGTTCTAGCTAACACTAATTACTTTGTTTGTCTGTATAGGCATTTCCTGTATCAGTTTATTTTTAGTTTGTGTTTGTGTCTAATGTGTATCAATCACATTATGTAGTTGAATTATCTACATAGTCACCTCTGCTCACTGTTTCTATTATGCTTTTCTTGTTCTTTCTTCTCTTGCTTCGCGTGCTACACGGAGTGTGGCGACTTGAACTTCCGCACATTTGTGCAAAGTTCTATGTCGAAAACAGACAGACAGACATAGTCAGTGATTAAAATAGAAGAGGTTACCTTAAATGTTGTACCTGTTTTATTCCTGATTTCCTGTCTACTTCCTGTTTCATTTGTAAACTATGTTTTGACTTATTGGCGGGCATTTGTATATCGATTATTATTATCTGCAGAAATTCAGACTGGACATTAGGTGCTTATTTGTTTGTTACTAGTTTGGGTTATCTCAACGGTGTGAGCGTAGTCAACTCCATGTCACCTTTTGCTGCTGGCGCCTAGATGAGGACTCCAAGTACTGTTCGATACCGATGAGGCCATATCGAGTGTGTATTTGTTTCATAGCCTTACATAGCCTCTCCTGAGGAAGTCCTACTTACTGCCTTCACGTGGCGGAGGTGTTTCTCACCAAAGTGAGAGGGCGAAGGCGGATGCCCGGCGCTCCCCACTGGGTTGACTGTCCATTGGATGACGGTCTAGGGGAAATGGCTAAACCCTGATTCCAAACCTCCAACGACTGGCGTATGAAGCTCACTGGAGCTCACCGGCAGACGTATGGACAAAGGGCTTGTTGGATGTCCTGGATGTCTGACCCCATTCAAAAAGGCGTATGAACCGAACTCCGGTCACCGGCTGCCAATGGATAGTGGACTCCTTACTCCACTCCTACTTCCTTGTAGGTCACACTTGGCTGTGTAAAGGCTAGAGCTGCACTCTCAAACAAAAGGCCGAGTGATGCTGGGGACATCACTCGTACCAAATTCCCATGAAACTTCATGAACTCTCTTACAAATTGCCGCGCTTGGGCAGCGATGATTCGAGACGTTCATGAAGCCGGCTCATCCTCCCGTAGGAGATAGCCGAAGTAAAGTAAAGTAAAGTAAGTATTTGTTTCACAGTGATCACAGTTTTCATCCGATCATAATTTTTTGTTATGCTTTATTAGATTTGAGATTGTCAACCTTCTTTTATGCATCTATCTATGCATGTGTTTTCTTTACAGGCTTATATTGAATTTATTGTTGAGATGGGACCGCAATGGTTTGAATCCAACTTGTCAACTATCCTCACGCATTTAGTCAATCTTCTTTTAATCCCACGAGCTACACCAACTCACGTGGAAGCAATATGCGCACGTCAGTGTATACAATATCTGTTAGGTACTGTATTTCGACATCTTTTGTCAGAATCTGTTCAGTTGGTTGCAATCAGTGAACTGGTAAAAATCCTGACATTTCATTTACAATTCTTACAAAATTTACATATGAATGAATATTCAGGGAATAGTGGTGATGTTTTCCAGCAGATATTTTCTTCGTCCTCATCCTCTTCAACACTTACGCCTGTTGGCGGCGGTGCTGGTAATAGTGGATGTAATATAAATGAGTCTACAGATGTCTTACCGAATGATATGTTTAATGAGACTACATTAGGAAATAATAATAATCCTGATGAGATCAATGGTGATTACCAAACCTCCGTCACTGGTACTCATAATTTGGATAGTTTTACTGAACCAGATAATGGGAAAATAAGACGAGCATTTGGACTTCAAAGTTCAGCGACAGGCAATTCAACAACAACAACTACTACTGCTGCTGTCGGTAGCAGTTCACGTTCGAATAGGGAACAACAACATCAGCATTTAGTTATTTGTGTGTTAGACATCATCAGTCAATTGATACGTTGGCTAGATTCATTAGTTGGTAAGTAATTTTGAAAATATTCCCTTTCTACTGCTGTTTTGATTTTAGTTTTTAGTTTGATTACTACTTTACCAGACGTTCCTCTGTGGTTAAGTCTGTACGTGTTCTGTAAGTACCTTAATCAGGGTGCTAGGTACTAGGTTCGTTTTGTGAGTTGGACACGTGGATAGTGTTACCACGCCTCGTGTAGTACATTCTCTTTTAGTCACATTGCGCAAACCTTTGCACACTTCACACATAACGTCACACAAACTGGAAGGTCTATACAGGGGAAAGCCATTAACGGGAAAAATTTTTGAAGTCACCTACACCACTTGTCTAGGCGGCGTTGTTTCAACTACAAGCGACACAGATGAGGTTGTCTAAGCCAACCAAAATTGGAAAAATAAGACAAACTTTCATTAATCCGAAATCTGTGTGGAAATCTACAGCACTCAGCCATAATAAAGCAAAAAAAATTGGTTTTTCAACACCTAGTGTCAATCAAGTTAGTTCTTCTATATGATTCAGAGACTAAGTGCGTTACCAAAAGCATTTTCAACAGGCTTCAGACTTTTATCAACACCGCTACCTTCTCTTCATGACGAAGGCCAGGTGGCTAGAGAAGATGGGCAACAGGGGCATCTGGCAACGAACCACTTAGGAGCCTATTATCCAACAAATATGTCGAAGGAAATGGAGATGGATTGGAAACATGCTGAGGGGATCGTTGAGTGACGTCGCATACTTGGCCTCTGAGTGGAACGCGAATGGGAAACGATGAATCGGGTATGCGTCCCGAGGTTGACATGGTGGAGATTTTGTGAGGAAGGGATAATAGCTTATAGACAGTTGTCGAGCCGGCTCAAAAAGATAGCAGTTAGGCGAGTGAAATAGAGATAGATGTTATGCTAAAGTCAGCCATATATTTCATTTGGAACCCAAGGGAATATTGGTAACTGCGATTTACTTAGCAGGAAATTAACAGACTGTGTAGTTTGATTATATAACTTGATTATGCATACTGTTTAACCACAGCTTTAGACTGTTTGTCTCATTTATTCAAAAGCAGGGATATTTATTCGTGTTGTGTGTGTGTGTGTTTCCCATATATTTTTTAAAATAATCACATGATAATCGCAAACATAATTCATGTGAAACTGAAAACCGCCATCATCATGTGATTGAACTACACTAGTGGGTTGGCCATACCATCGTCCTTAAGTTTGTTGATAATTATTAGATGAAGGAAGAGAAATGATGTATAGCAAGGGATTAAAGTTGCCTTCTTTTTAGTACACTACCTATTTGTCTGTCATATCTTTACCGGAATGAATGACTGAAGTCGATATTCTCAGTACATTCGGTGGTTAATTTGATTACAAATCGATATCAGTTGATAGGCTTATATCTTTATTTTCAAGTATTGGTTTTGTGAGGATTTTGTTTGATTGGTTGGGGGATTTCATCATAAACCGACTTCAGTTAGAGGAACATCGGAAAACCTGGGAAGAATGGACAGCTGTTTCGCCCTAGTTTGGGGCTCTTCAGCAGTACGCACTCAATGGGGCTCGAACCGAGGACCTTCTGGTTACAAGGTGGGCTCGTAGGCCATTAAGCATAACCATTATAGCATGATTATTAACTTAGACGATAGCATCTCAAGTTGTGATGACTATTAAGAGCTGTCTGATTCCATACATCTTCATTGAACATTTCACTGGGAAGAAAATTAGCATTACATCATGAATTATTTGAGTTTTGCAATAGCCAGTTACACTCTAGAATGCAATCCATTATTTGAAACACTATTTGAGTGTAGTACTAATGTATGTCATTTTAGGACAGTATTAAGTAGCTGTCATATATTATCTGAGTTTTGGCGATTGTTTGCTAATTGTTACGTCTTTGATAATAGATTATTTGTTTTTATATACCGTTCTTTTTATTCTAGTTCAACTTTTGGATCAACCGACTCAATTAGCTAATGTACTTTGTACATGTTTAACGCATCCAGTGCATGGTGTTCGTTTAGCAGCTGCATCATGCTTACGTCAACTGGTTATTGTTGTGCCAAGTCAACGTATCCCTTTATTGAATCGATGTTTATTATGTTTACAACAATCGTATAGATATAATGCTGATACTCTGTTAGGTGTAACGTGTGGTATAACTGGACTGTTAGCCGGTGTAAATTGTTCTTTACTCGGTTTATCTAATAATTTGCCTAAACAGGTAAGTTGACTTTTCATTCTCCTTACACTTTATTCATCATTGTTGTAATTCATTGATCCAAGCCGGTTACAGACGAAGTCGTTTTATATGTAATTTTATTTTATATTTAGGTTTTTTACGGCAAAGTTAGACTTTAAGCACCACTAACTACCAATCAGCGAATGATCTCGAACATACCAATCATGTGAAGGAGGCATTTTTGTGTGTGCAATGCATATATATTTGTGAAGTAATACAGAAAGACTGTAGAAAAGTGTTACAGAGGATACCTTGCCCTCACATGTAATTAAAGTAGCGCTGTTTCAGGTTGCAGTATCAACAGAGTATGCTTCCATTGTGGGTCAAATTTATTTTGATAAAGTTTCACAGTGTTATGCAGTAATATTTACTGCGCAATAAACTGTACTCGAAAGGTTATCAATAAATATTACAGAATAAATTTTACCCACAATAGAATTATACTCTACCACAGTGCATAAGTTTTATTCTTATATCAACAGAGTAATTTAACCACATTCTGTGCATATAATTATTCATGTCTTCTAACCCTAACAATAAACCTATTCTTTCCTAAACCTAGCCCTAACATGAAAATATGCCTATACCGATCCTAATCTAACTTGAACTAACCCTAATGTCAGATTAAATAAGTTAACCTAACCCTAACTCCTTCTTGGCTTAAAGCGTAACTTAATCTTCCCCATACCTAAGCTGAAACTTGCCAGATATCCCATTTAGTAGCATAGCACTCCGATGAGCATATTTTATTCAGGATGACAACATTGTTTGCCAGGTTTCACTAACTTGCTCAGTGAGCATTTCAAGGTTATTGGTGCGGTCGCACTTCATTGGTAGTTAGTTAGTGGTGCTTAAAGTTTAACTTGGTCAGTTATAGTTTCTGTATTAGGAATTTTCATCAATTTTAATGTAGATTCCGTTATGAACCGACATCAGTTGGAGAGATCATTGAAATTCAGGGAACACCATATAGTTGTTTTGCGCTAGTTTGTGACTTTTCAGCAGAACAACCCCATGGTCCCCATCAGGGATTAAACCCCCGGCACCTTCAGGATACAAGACTGAGTTCGTTAATCTCTGTCTGTCTGGATTCAACATAGAACTTGGCACCGAAGTGCAACAGTTCGAGTTACCACGTTCCAAATAGCACACAAAGGTAGACAAGAAGATGAGTGAAGAGAATCAATAGAGTTTGACAAGTATAAGAGCGAAACATAATGGGTAATGGTAGAAAGCAATATGAAAGATTACAGAGACTGAATACATCTGCACCATTGTTATGTACTGCTGCTGAGTGGTTAATCGTAGTTTTCCCCGTCGCCAATTATCCTATGTACTCGTCCAGTAGTTAATAGTCCTGACGCGGAAAGAGGGGAATCAGAAGACCAGGTTTACGATGATACTTGTATTTTCCAGACAAGGAAAATAAATGTCACACTAGTGTGTGAGTGAAATGGTACGAATGTACGAAACGTGTGAACAAGTATAATAAAGCAAGAGTATGTATGAAAATGGCTAACGCACATGAACCAATAAATAGCCAGTCTTAACATGATTGGTTGTAATGTCATGTGACAACAAGGTCATACATGTTTATTTAGTTAGTGGACAGACAAAAGCATATTGTCAGTTATAATGAAATATCGATCCATATACACATAGCAAAATATAATAGACTGTCAAAAACAAAACACACATCATGTGGGTACATATCAGCCATTGACAACGATTTTGAGCCATGTCACCTGTTGTCTCCAGCCATTGATTCCTAGAGTCCAGAAGGCCCCAACCCGGAAGTCTGCATCTCCCTACCTGACTCAGTTCAACTGTCAAGCATTTCATGGGTTGATGCCATGTTTTTGTTTGGCCACCACATACTCTTTTCCAGCCTGCACCTATATCAGCTAGTAATGCCCGTCGGGGGAGGCGATGGTAAGCATGCGCAGCACGTGACCTAGCCATCTCAATCTATGTAACTTTATAGCCTCGTCGATTGATTTTCCCTTTTTACCCAACACTCTACGTCTAACGTCAGCATTACCTGCCTTATTAAACCACCTAACGTGAGACAGAGATCGCAGACATCTATGATCGAAAGCAGTCAACCTATACATGTCTTCAACTCGTATTGGCCATGTTTTAGAGCCACAGAGAAGGGCGGAGCGAACTGATGAGCAGTACACACGTCCCTTGGTTGATAGCCAGCCGGATGTCACGCCTACGCCAGAGATGGTGTAAGTCAGCGAAAGCAGCTCGAGCTTTTTGGTTCGTTAATCATGCAACCACCTGGTCCAAATTCGCTCCTCTTAACCAGTGCCTTCGAGGAGGATTCACTTTATCTTGACGTAGCTGACTCCCCTACTCACGACTTCTCAATACAACTTCAGGACATCCATGCAATAGGCATCAATTAGCTGGAGACTTAGTATTTAAATTGTGTTGTTTTGTTAGGGATTTAAATTATAATTTCAGTGTAGATTTTGTCTCATCAGACAATTTTGTCAGGTTTGTTTAATTAAGTAAATCACTTAATCTATAAGTTGTTGGATTGAGTTTGACAGCGTTAAGTGTTCCTTAATTTACAGAGTGAATGATGCTAATACAGGTGGAGATTTATGTAGCTGGTTACTTTATTCTTACTGGTTAATGATTTTCATTGACTGTTTCTTTTTTGTATTAATCCAGTCTTAGGCTAAGTTAAGAATAAAGAATTTTTTAAGTGATGGATTATTGAACGTTTTCCCTTGTTTTCATTAAACTCCGCTTACTCTGCACTTTACAGCCCTATGAAAGTTTTCTACTTATAAAACAAGCAGTAACTAAGTGGTTTTATGGATTGTTAGTATAGCATAGCTTTTAACTATATATATATATATATATATATATGCCCTTGTAATATGTAAATTTACTACTCAACTGTATAATAAGTTTTACTACTGTTTTTCTTTTAGATGTTTAGTTTAGCTGAAGACTTACTACGTGCAGCAAATCAGAATAGTCGCTTCACATTGGCGCGTACACAAAGTGGATGGAGTTTATTAGCTGCATGTATAACACTTGGACCAAATATTGTCAAATCGCATTTACCTCGAATATTTTTATTCTGGCGTAATGCATTCCCACGTAGTTTGCGGGAATTAGAAGCAGAAAAACAACGTGGTGATGCTTTTACTTGGCAGGTGTGTAAATAATTTTCCAACTTTTTAATTATGATATTTACGTGTTAAGTGAATGTGGAGAAAAGAAACGTTGGATATAAATTTAAGAATTCTTTATGCCTAGTTGTTTTAGCTAATTGATTAGTCAGGAGTGAGGACAAAATACTAGCCGATGACATTGACTGTTGGTCGCGCTAAAATCATTAGTTGGTAAGAGTCAGAATTCATGGTCCACTGAGTCGAGTCCCAGTGGCCGAATGGTTTACAAACTTGACTTGTAACCGGAACGTTTTGGATTCCAACGCTGGTGGTGGGTGCGTACTGCCGATGGGTCCCATACAGAGACAAAATGGCTGTCCAGTACTTCCTGGTTTCCAATGGTTCTCTATCCGTGGTCAAACTTGGAACAAGTCAAATCCCCATAAAGCTACTCTTGATTTAAGGATGTCGATAAGTCTTAGTTAAGTTAGAAAAAATATTCGTACAAAATCCATCAGTTTGAAGGAATAACAATAAAATTGTGCAGTAGTTAAGAATACTATTAAGCTAATAGAAAACTTTCTCAGTCTTCTGATGATTTTTCTTTGATATCTCGTCATCTGTGGATTTGAGTACTTAACTTCAAATCAAAAATGCACAAAGTGTTTAGTTTGCAAAACTAGTTTCTATCCTCAAAGCAAGTAATAGAATCCAGGACATGTGTTCTGTTCCACTTGAGACACATCATAGCCATTGCACTAGAGATGGTTCTTGCAGTCTAGTATTAAACGCATTGGCGTTTGAAGCGATGGATACTGGGTTCGAATTTCAAAGGGAACACCACCCCTCACTGAGGATGCGGGTACATCCCTCTTACAAGCATCAAAGAGGAAGACACATAATTCTTGGGTTCTGCCTCTAGCCACTACCAAACGACTTAATAATCCTGGTAATGTTGAAGCATCCATTCAAGGTACCTATTTACCGAAATGAGGCTGTTCATTTCTGTCAAATATATATACCAGCAGGAAATCACAAATATCAATAAGTGTTTTCTATCCTTCTGTTCACATTATCAATAGAAATAAGGTGGTTAGCAGATTTTGATTAGAATTATGTGTGTGCGGTATTTTGCCATGTTGTATCCACCATAAAGGGTGTAGTCTGTTGGTTGCTTATTGGTAGGTAAGGAAGAAAACTTGAGTGAAGTTTCTGCGACATATGTTACACATATTTAAAGTCATAATTGCATTCGATGAGTAATATTAAGTGAAATAAGATCAAAGTGGAAAAAGAGTGCTGACAATTCGATTAAACTAAGTCTTATTTTTATGATTCAACACTTGTCCACCAGATATCTGGAAAATTCTTCTACCGCTACGAGAAATAGGGGAGAACAAAGGAAATCATAAAACTCAAGTTTCAAAGTTGTGTGATTATAATTGATGAAATGATTATGAACAATAAATTTTGTTCGAAACTGTGTCATCCAGTAAATAATACTGTTTTTGATGTGGTTTTGTTCTCTGAGTTGGATGGTTAGTTTGAGAAGCTTTCATCACCCTACTGGGTGACATCTTCAGCGCATACTTCAATTTGAATAATACTGTTTCCCTCACTGTGTGATATATCTGATAAACAAACTAATATGGAATTACTTACTACCACAGTGCCAAAGTTTTACACATATATCAAGAGTCTAATTTATGTAATTTGATTATTTGCCTGTTCCATGTGGGAGAGTTTGTGTTTCTTGCTTTTACTCATCAAGATGTTTATAATTCATGGTTGAAGTCTTCTATCTGACAGTCTGAAATGAAACACAGTGGCATTTGAGATATCTATTAGTGTATATCTTACTATTCTGGTTGTCTTCGCTCTCTCTCTTTTCGTTACATCGATTGAAATGTATAAGACAATTGCAGCGTATGCCTAGTCCACTGCTTTCCTCAACGTGCAATATTATCCCACATAGGATTAGGCTGGGAAAGAGTGGTCAAGGGTGGTCAAACCAAAACTTATCATTAATCCATAGAGTTTTCGACAGTTGGTTTGATTCAATCGCGTAGGGTGTGTGTAGACTGCTTGGTTAGGTGGTGGGGATGTTCGTGTTAACCTTAGTGTATCCTTTAAAAAATACCTTGCCATGGATATATTTAACTTGTTGGACATTTTTCTATTACTCTCTCACTTAAATTAACTTCATTTAGTAGAGAAGCCTTTTATCCTTTCCGCACTCTGTATATGTAGACAAATAGAGAGAAAAAATGATTAAACTATATTTTATTGATTATCGTTTTCAAGAGTTGATTTGTAAGGAGTAGGTGTATTTTTTAAGTTTGACCACGGATTAATATCGGTTAAAGAACTATTGAAAAACTGGGAGTGCTGGACAGCCAGCTGTTTCATCCTAGTTTGGGAATCATCGACAGTATGCAACCACTACTAGGGTTCGAGTCCAAGACCTTCCGGTTACAAACCAAGCTCGTACACCATTCAGCCACTGGGACCCGATCCATTGGCCAACATATGAATTCTAACCAGTTCGTGATTTAGCGCCACCACCAACTAATATCATCGGTGGAGAAATCCATCCTCACTCCCGACTGGATGAATCTCACTGGTCATAACTACTCACAAGAACTCCAGGAAACTCTGTGATCAAATTTGAAAAAACAAACCTAAATCTTATAAATCAACTCTTGAAAAAATGAATTTATAGGATGAAGAATGGATAATGACTGAATTAAAGACAATTAAAATACATTAGAATTATGCACACTTGATGAATTCATTTCCTTTTCTTTTTTTGGGTGGGTGGGTGGGAATTTTCTTTCTCCCACTTAACTTCTGGTTTGTTTTGGTGTTAATATTCTTATTCTTATTGTGGATAGGAGAACATAAAAATGAAACTTAAATTCATTTTTTAATAAGGAAAAAAAAAACTACTTATAAGTATGTTCGTAATGGTTGTTTACACGCAATGATGATATTGGGGGGGGGGGGGTTATATGTCGAATTACTTACTGTATGCTTTTATCCATGTATTTATGTATGTGTGTATGTATTGAGTTGCTGTAATTCAATTAACTATTTGTTTGATTACTTAGTAGTCATTATTTATAGCATGTTAGAAGAGTGAGTGTGTAGTGTGTGTGTGTGTGTAGGACATATGGGATTTGAACATTTTTAAAGCTTATTATGCAATTCTCTTCTTGGAATGTAATTAATTTACCTCTAATTATCAATTAAATGTGGTTTCACTAACCAGACCTAAGTACATATTCTATTCCCTCGATCATGATGCATCGAAATTTCGTTAAGTAATTCAACAGTAGGTCTTGGTAAAATGTTTGTATTCGTACATTAAAAGTGGCTTTGTGCGCTGGTTGTTGAGACGTAGAATGTTCGTCAGTCACACACTTGGTCAGGATTCGATTCCTAGCCGACATACGCCTAAGCCTCATCTAGTTGACTGGTTGTTACCAGATCCAGAAAAAGGGGAAAGGTTGGGTGTGAGGCTAGGAGCCTCACCCCATAAAACAGAATCATTGTTACTGAACCTTGAATCACTGTGTCCCGCTGGAAACGCATATATATATATATATATTCACTGGGGGTTCATAGTTAAAAAATTTTTATTGAAGTTCTGCCTGCTGTATTCTTCAGATATTGGATATATGGAAATTTTATCGACTTTAAAGGAAATTTCGCTACGAATAATGGTATCACTTAGAGAGAGACTATGTAAAACCACGTAGGCCTTCAGAGGTGCTCACCTACCACTCTACCAGAAGTCAAGTCTAATCCCACTAGGATTAAGAGACGAGCATGTTGTTAACATGGATTATAAGGTCTGTTATTATGCGGTGTAATACGAACACCACCCCAGTCTAATTAGACTACATAACCTGGTATACTCTGATTAGTCATAACCTATGACTAAAACTTCAAGATATCCACCTAGAAGCTAATCATTTATAAAAAACTGGTTTAACACTGAATCCCTTCAAAGAAAAGCTCCAGATACTACTCATTTAAAAGTTAGATAAAATCAGAAGACAATGTTAAATTATTGTAGTATTAAGCGATCAACTTGTTGCCTTGACCACCTTCACCAAAGCGTTAAGAAGAAAGTTTGTGATGTAAAATGTGCGCAAACTTATTTCGTGGCTTTTCTTCAGTTGTAGACAGCCTAAAGTATTATTATTCTTTGAGTTGCTGATCGGAACATAGGACTTTAACAGCACATCCCTACTTCATCCAGTTCTCGACAGTCCTCTTTAGCTGACTCCGCGACTGTCAGCATGATCTCTTCCGTGTCATCTTCGGACTCCAAATTCACAGTTTTCCACTTGGGTACCAATTGAGAGTTTGGTGCGCAAGGTCACTCAACAGTCTCTTCAGTATGTGTCCGATTGAATTCTATTTCCTTCGGTGTATTTATTGGGCAATAGGTTGTTGGTTCGTTGCACGGCATGGTTTCCTGTTACTTATCCTTATCCATTATAGAGTGAAGGCAGCTATTGATGAAAGCCTACAGAGCAGCCTATTGGAAATGCTTTTGGTGACACCTGGGTCAAGTCTCTGAACTATGTGGAGATTCCGATTCGACATTAATATTGGTGGAGATTCTAAAGTATATGTAGGAATAATGGAATACATATATGCACACACACTTTCTTTTTCTACTGAGCAGAAACTAAGCATGAAGGTTGTAAGTAAGGAGTATCATGGGATACCGTCAACATTACGACGCGAATACGAAAAGAATGTTATCATTGGTGGTAATAAGGTTTGGAAGAAGTTTGACAAAGTTTTGATAAATAGCTTACAACAGAACACTACTACTACTTCTTCTTATCCATATCTTTTCACTCACACCCTGTTCTCTCGAACAATTCATCACACTTTATGTATCAATAAATTCTGGTTGTTATATTTTAATTGAATTTGAGATTGTCCCGCCGATTGATTAGGCCGAAGTGCTCGGTCTCAGGTTGACATGTCGGCTTCTTGTGCAGATGCTTCGACGATGATGTCTGGGCATCTCATTAGTATTTAATTGGTGGTTGGTGACTAGCAGTAGAATCCAGAATCCAGGGAACATCATCACTCATTGAGGAATGCAGGTACACCCACTGGCTGACTAGTCCCAAATAGGACGAAATGTGCTTTATCCTGGATTCCACTGCTAGTCACCATCCACTAATTAAATTCTGGTTGTTATATCTCGTATTCATTTCTCTTGTTCTACAAAAAATACGTTTTGAGTTGAAACAATTTTTGAAATATGTTATATTCATTTTTTGCATTTTGTAATAACTTATGGTAATTTTCAAGCTGTTAGCAGTCGTGAAATATAAAAAAAAGGAACACGTAAGCTCTTTTTATCCGCCTGCAAATATGTTCGTCCGTTCCTCCTCTTCAAAAAACGCTACTACTACTGACTCAACAACACAGGAAGGATTATGTAATAATAATATATGGCAACATAGTGACGTAATGCAGCAATACATTCATAGTAATAATACTGAAGTATGATTATAAAAACGCCTTTATACATAATAACCTTGTGAATTGTTATCAAGTTTGCAATTATCCCTATCGCTTATTTAAATGTTTTTGTCTGCTTATATATGCTTATAGTATTCTCAAAAGTTATTGATTCGCCTCTCTGTCTCTCTTTCTCTTTTTCCTCACAACCCTTTTTTTTTACTACTCTTGTTACAAAATAGGTGATGCTTGAATCACGAGCTGGTGCATTATGCTCAATACAAAGTTTTCTAGAATATTGTTCCCAATTGCTTACCGATGATATAATACATCGTCTTTTATCACTTATTGATTGTGCATTGAATATGCTTGCACAAATGAATGATATAGTACGTATATATGGGAATCATTTAAAATCAACAGCTGGTTTCATTCGCCTAAGATTATATCGAATTTTGCTATTATTACCGTCAACAGCGTATACTGGTAAGTGTTGAATTATATTTTGTATCAGCAACTTGTTTTCTTGTTTTGTGTGTGTCTGTGTGTGTGCGCGTGTGTGGGTATGTTTTTACTTGAGGGAGAGAAAATTTCTTCTTCGTGGCGTTTTTGTTGTTGTCGTTGTCGTCGTCGCTGCCTTTATTGATTAGTCTATTCGTCGTCATGCTGTTCATAATGTCTCCGTGATGTCATATCCCATCATCATATTTTCTCCTCTGAGCTCACCATTACTCTGTTTTCCCCCACTCCCTTTTCTTTTCTGTTTGTTCTCTGTTTAATAAGCAGTTCATAGCTGAAATATTATGATATATATGTATGTGTATGTAAGAGTGGGTGTACAGTGAAAACAAGAAGGCATCAGCCGAATTGTTCCGGGGAAAATTACATATACATATATTAATAATTTATAAACTTTTAAAGTAAATAAACATTACCACTGGTTAATTATATGCATAATTTATTCGATATTTTTTAATTTATACTTTCTTTCCCCCTGTGTTGATTGTAGAAAGATTTTAGATTTGGATTATGACATATAATAATTAGTATTATTTTATCTAACTTGAAAATTGACTGGAACGGTTGAATATAATCCGATTGTTTTAACCTACGCGCAACTGTTCTACAGCTCTGGACAGTCTTTTTTCCACTCGTTTTGGAGCTGTAGTCATCACCAGTGTACTCCTATTTGGCTCAGCTCAAACCGCACGAATTTGACTGTCTATGCTGACTCAAACGGGGCACACCTCTGCTCCAAACGTGCAAAATAGACGTTTAGTGTTCAAATCACTTCGATTTGGTTAGCAAGCACTACTTTTCGATATGAGTGGTGTACAACTACTACTCATCTCAGTCACTCAGTAGTGCATAGTTTTATGCATAAATGCTTGCTTGCTTGATTAGCATTTTTACTAGCAAGCAGATCATATACTGTAATCCGAATAATTTTTGGCGCAATTTCACCTCCTCGAAGTGTATACATTGCAGATAGTGAATATGATTTACGATAAAACCAGTTCGCCAAAGTAGCTAACCAGAAATCAGGTAGTTTGAACTGATTCTGTTGTCTGGGCTGAGTCAAAGTGGGTACACTGCTAATGAACTCGGCTTCAAACTGGTGAAACAGCTTTTTTTAGTGTTTGGACCACTTTAATGTAGCTAGTTTTTTTCCCTTCACTTTCCCAGTGGAACATAGGGCTTCAAGCTAATTGCTTGAAGTTTCTGTAGCAGTGTTTATTTTTACAGGATGAGGTTGCTAGCCTCATGCCCAACCTTTCCTCTTTACCAGCATTATTTCTGGCTTAGCGGGGTAAAGGAGTGAGTCGACCGGGAATCGAACTCCAGACCATGTGCATAGTCGGCGAGCGTCCTAACTGCTGTGCCACCGACGCTGATGTAGCTAGTAAGCACTATTGTTTGATGAGAGTGTTGGTTTCCGACCACTCATATCAGGCAATCAGTAGTGCATATTATCACCCTTCGTTGCTTACTCTCTTGATCACTATTTATATAGTGTCAAGTAGACGTCTTATAAGTAAATATTTACTCAGAGTGGTGAATATAACTCCCCTCCCCCCTCCCGATAACAGCTTTGAGCTGAAGGACATCATGTTTTGTCGAATCAGAAGACATAAACTGTATTCACTTTTAGTCTATACTGCTGTAACTGTCGAGAGGTGATTATAGCACTGTCGTGCAGTTGACTGATCATTTGTTTGATAAGGCTGAACTCGACTGAGATACTAGATGACCACCATCTGCCCATTGGCAATTGGTTGGTAGTGTAGTCGAGCGATCACTGTTCATAGAAAACTTCATTATTCACATAAGTAACCTATACATAATATATTGTCAACTGTATACCGACAATATGATTTAGATAATTCAAATGTATAATATTTATTAGTCTATAAGTCATCAACCAAGAATGATTCAAGAGAGATTATTAGGTTAGGCAACCAATAAAGTCCTACTCTGGATAGATATGAGGCTGCATTTCTGTTCCCTACAAAACACAATTAAGACTTAAAACAAATCTAAAACTATATATGTTTTCATACATTATGGTAAAACTCAATCTGACTTGATGAGTAAACGAACCACTAAGTAAAGTTATTTACCTTATACTATCTCCTCTGCGCTCACCATTACGACTCTTTCCCATAGGTTCGAACCCTGGCGGTGGGTGCGTAATGATGATGAGTCCCAAGCTAGGGTGAAGCAGCTGCCAAGTACTCCCTGGTTTTCAATGGTTCTCTAACTGATATCAATCCGTGGTCTAACCTGAAAGTTATTTACATTTTTTTATGTAATTATAAACCTAGCACAACCGATGGGCACCTAGAAATTCTTCATACAAAATAATCGAATAACAAATAACTTATAGAAAATAAAAATAAAAGCGTTATCATAAGCTATTACTAAGTTATCTATCTGCATATATGTACACGATAAAACGTCTATTAATTATTTCTGTATAAAAGAAGAATGTACTGTAGTGATATGAACTGAATTCCCACTGTAGAACCTTTTCCTACAAAAAGTGCAGTAGTTCATGCTGTCACACTTTAAAAAATTGCATACTAAGGGAGGAGAAAAAGAAACTGTAATGAACAGAGAGGAATAAGAGAATGGATAATTACATGTGGTGAATAGCTGAGGATATAATGAATCTGGAAAGGTAATATTTATCATTCAATTGTTTAGACAGTTGGTTATTTACTGTTGTAGTCACCGTAGGGATTCGGCTAATTGGCTGAAGTTTTTAATTTTCACTTAGCCAGGTGTCCTACGTTCCATATACTTCAACCTAGGCAATTTGATGGGTAGTACCGTCATTTAGGTTTTATAAAAAAAATATCCAATGCTTCTGAATTGCATTTAATTGCTATTCATGAATATACACTGAAGAGACCGTTGACAAACATCTCGGAAGAGACCCTTGAATGGTACCCGAATAGGAAATGAGTTAAGCATAGGTACGTGGGTGACATGGAGGAGATCGTATGATGAGAAAATAATAAGTTTACTGGCTATCGTAGAGCCGGTTGGAAAAGAATGCAGAGAACAGTGTGGAATGGTGATGTGCTGTTCGAAGTCTTATCTTCCATTCGAAACCCTAGAGATTAATAATAGTAATACTATTCGCGGATCAGTTAAATGTTAACAAAGATGAACTAATACTAATTAATGCATTATTATTATCATCTCAAAAAGTGAGAACAGTACGTCGTTAAGTAATAGGATGTTATTGATCGATTTTTTTTCCTTCACGTTCCCCAGTGGAACATAGGGCTTCAAGCTAGTGGCTTGAAGTTTCTGTAGCAGTGTTTATTTTACAGGATGGTGTTGCTAGCCTCATGCCCAACCTTTCCTCTTTACCAGCATTATTTCTGGCTTAGTGGGGTAAGGGAGTGCATCAGTGGCCGGGGATCGAACCCCGGACCATGTGCATGGTTGGCAAGCGTCCTAACCGCTATACCACCGACATTCGATGCTTCAAATTAATAGAGGGAAGATCAGTAGTTCAGTTAGGAGTCTGTTTTCGGCGAATTCAAACGAAAAAAAATCAGTAGGTTTTTGGTGGAGTTACATAATGCAAAAGGCGTTGTTATAAGAGGGTAGTAACAAAAGTGACGAGTTGTCACAACCGATTGTTGAAGAAGAGTTACGTAATAAAATGAATAGCTTAATGAAAGAGTTGTGCTCAGGGTGCACTTAGGAACAAAATAAGATACGGAACTACGTAATAGTTTTAAAGGAATATGAGAGTTTTAAGTAGTTCGAAAAAGCAAGCAAACAACCAAAAATTAAGTTAAATCAACAGAGTTATTACCATGACAATAGAAGTGGTTAAATAACTTTCTTTTGTATGCATAGTTCTGGTTCTTCTAACTGAATGGCTAGGGCTTCTGCAGTGCAAAGAAAACGTAAACGTATTGTCTTTGGCTGGTTATTCTTCACTTTGTAGATTACTTTGAAGAAGGCGTTTGTTGAGATGCAGTGACCAGTGATGACGAGATGTTCGATTATTTCACTTCTTATACGGCCACTTCTCCTTTTCTGCAGCCACACTGTATAGTGTCCTTTAATCCTTTTTGACAGGATGGTCATCGGACGACCGATGTACTTGGCTCCATGGCAACATGTGAACTGATATATATATATATATATATATATATATATATATATATATATATATATAGACACCTTCGCTGAACTACTGGTCTTCTCTCAGTTAATGTCCCAATGGGGATTTCTCATGGATTAAAAGCTTCAAATTAGCTTTCATGTGTGTATTTTTCAATTAATACGGAGTACATAAAGTGATAAGATTGTTTAATCAATTTTATTTACACGGTGAAATATGTTCATCTGATGATTTGATGAATAAGACAGAATTTGAAAAATGTGCAAAAATATATTGGTAGGCAGCTGTGTGCATGGTTCGAGGTCCCAATAAGTGGTATGGTGTGTCATTCAACAATTCCATGGATATAAATGCGGTTGTCAACGAGCTACAAGTACTGACTGTATAAAGAGGTTGGTGATATTATTTTGGCTGTCTAAATCTTGATAAGTGAAGAGTGAAGAAGTTTCAAACCATGACTCCCTAGTTGAAAGTTAAGCGTCTGGTTCAATCAATGCGCTACAATGTCACACTGGGTCACTTCATAAATTAGGCCTGTATACTCATTTTTCAGCTAGTAGCGCGGTCATGGGCTTGAGTCCAAATTTACTCACTTCAACCTAGTTAGCTGAATAGTGTCATCAGCCCTCACAGGATAAGTGTGATCCTTAGCCTGGTGCATGATAGATCTGTCTAGAGTAATTGTGTTTAAAGAAGCAATATTCACTAATGAATAGGAGCAGAGTTCGATATATATATATATATATATATATATATATATATATATATAAGTAGAGAAAGTGATTATTTATTTAACGCGTGTTTATTTAATATTTAATTCTGTAAAATAGCATTTATACATCACTTATGGCAAACAAGTCTCAGTCAACGAGGTAATGTTATTTCAATCTATCCTGGTTGATTTCCCTCCTCCCCCCTTTGATTGACGATATTATCATTACTCTACTGTTTTCTTTTCATAGAATGTGAATAATACCTTTCTGCTTCTCTATTTACTTCATGCCTTATATCTATCTATATAATTATCATTTGAAGTTGCTTTTCTTATTGAATGATTGATTTTAAGAATGGCTTATCATACGTAAATTATTTATGCGGAATGTGGGATAAGGCATATATAAATGTGTATATCGCATGCACACTTGAATATTGTTGTTCATTTACCATATAAGAAGTCTTTCTTTTTTATTTGGATATATTTGATAACATCTGTAGTAGCATTGGGTTTGGTTTCTTTTACGCGGTGGGATTGCTAGCCTCGCAACCAATCTTCCCTTTTCTTCAGACTAGCAAACTAGGCAAGTTCCAGGTGTTTGTCGGCCAAGAGTCGAGTTTGCACCTTCTCTGTGGTCGGAGAACTTCTTATCATTGAACTACCAACTTTTTTTTACCTATTATGACTATTATTAGCCTGATAATACTGATGATCAATCAGTAGAAATGTGGTTCGTTGTTCTAAACGCCGCATGTACCTGCATTTCCCAGTGGAACTGGAACCCAGTACCTTGCGTCTCAAACGCCAAAGCGTTATCCACTAGACTTCATGGGCTATGAGAGCCACATCTTGTACAACCGGAGTTAGTTATTATTAATTATTTCTGATTCAGTTTGATTTTCTAGTTGATTGATTGAACCGGAATGTTTGACCTCTGTTGCCAACATGTCAGCTCCTTGTGAGGACGCTGTAACTGTGTCTTAGGATTAACTTGAAGTAATTTGATGGATGAGGACTAGCAGCGCAATCCAGGATGCGCATTTCGTCCTTTATGAGACTCGTCATCTGGACGTGTCTGTATTCTTCAATGAGTGACATGGTTCCCACTGATGCTCGAGCCCAGTACCCATCTGATTTTATTTCAAGAACATTTCACTGATACATTGTTTGAGTCATTTCCAATATATGTTAGCAATACCAAATGGCTACAGGAAACTCTGAATTGATAGGGTTAACTTCTATAAATAAATATATAGATGAACTCAGTTCAACGGCTAAGATTGATTGGTTTAAGTAAGTGACTTATGATTTTCTTGTTGATTGGGTTGATTTCGTATACATTTAGATGACGAGTCCCAAATGGGACGAAATGCTCATCCTTAATTCTACTGCTAGTCACCATCCATTGAATAGCTAAACTGACTGTGTATCTCACACATGAACTGAATATATCAGACGTTTTAAATACTTCTACTGAGTCTAATCATAACTATAATATGGTAGTAGTATGATTTTTTTAATACAAGCATTATTGCATTCATTGACTAGTGCATGCTTTTATTCTGTATAATATGTATATTCTAAAATATAATTGAATGAATGGATGGATGGATGGATGAATTGTTATCATCATCATCATTATCGTATTTCTAATGTGCATTCACAAGCAGAGCATAGTATTCTTTCTGATGAACGCCTTTTTGTAAAATCAATACCTTTTTTTTTAGAGGTTAATGTTTGTTTTTAAGAAAAGAAAGCTGAATTCCAATGAAAATTAATCTGCTTTTCAAGTAGAAGAAATTAAAATTACTCTTTTATTATTTAAAAAAATAATATACAAAAATTTTAATTCCAATATTTGTTATTATTATTATTTGTATTATCAACTTGTTGTTGTTGTTTTTCTCTTTCCTGGCTCATTTTTCAATAAAATCTCAACACTTGTGAATGGAATAAATGCTTTCCCAGGTTCTTATAGTACAGTGTTACGTGAATTAGTCGCTGAGTTTACACTCACAGACAATATGGCGAATACAACAACTTCTATATTTAGATCGTTATGTCGTTCTGAGGATAGTGTAACACTGGCTTCATGTTTACAGGATACTGACCAAAGATTATTAGAAGAACAGGTATGTGTTGTTGTTTTTGTTGATTGTTTTAAAATAATAATGATAATCTAGTGTTTCTTTTATTTGTCTATAGAATTTTACTTGTTGCAATTTTTAAAGAAATTTCATCCAATAATATTGAAGTATGCACTGTAGGATATGTTGTCTAGGAAGACACTGAAAGCTGAAAGAACATGACCATGTCAAAATGATGTGTGTAACGACAGAAGACAAGGGTCAGGCAACAGATCGTTTATGGAGGAAATCAAGAGACATTTATCGATTTTTATGTACATTATTATTAGCGTTATTGTTAGCAGAGGAGAAGCAACGTCTTCTGATTGGTTGTTTTCTTACTGAAGGTTATTCTGTACTGCTTGTGACCGTTTTTTTTTAGAAAGTTAAGCCATATGTCTGCGAATCATATTTGCACACGCAAAGTCTGCTGGGATTGGTTGTTGAGTTCCACAAGGTTAAGCTTTGTTATTGTTTTTATGTCAATACCCCGCAATTCGGGACGTAAACATTAACGTAAATTGGTGTCTACAATTTTGGCTAGCCGACAACTCTCACTACCTGTGTATATATGTTATGGGGTTGTGGATACAAGTAATGAAGACGACTTATGGGATAGGACGAAGCTGCCGATAGTCGATTATGTCTATTCGTCCACTTATGATATTGTTATTCCTTTGGATTCGGAGTTGGAGCATAGGGCTTTACCAGCTTATCTCCAATTCAATTTTTTTAGCTGGCTCCATGACTGCCCATATGCTTGCATTTCTTCCTTATGTGATCTCCTCCGTTTCACCTACAGACCCACACCCAACTCGTCGTTTCATATTTAAAGTTCCACTCAAGGGTTTCGTACACATCGGTGCTAGATGGTTTCCTGTCTTTAACAACCATTCTGTCTATTATGTCTGTTTTTCCTTGTTATCCATTAGTATTTATAATATCTTTGGCGTCTCCCTTTTTTCGAAAAGACAGTGGTTTATTTCCTGATTATTTGTAGCTTCAACTAAAGTATACTGAAGTATTAGAGTAGTGTTAAACCTTCAAACCATCAAATAGAGGAAATGGTTCAATTAGTAATTATTTCATAATATTTAATTTACTAACTAATTCCAGCAGTTATAGTTGCCATTGATTTTATTGTATAATACATAGAGAAGACAGAGGTGATAAAGATTCCTGGCCAACACCAACATTAACAGCAACAATAACAGACAACAATCAGCCAACATAAATGGGAGGAACCTGAAAGAAACAGCCTCCTTCACCAACCTACCTGGGAGGCATCGTTTCAACTACAGGCAGACGGAACTGACGAGGATATCAAAGCCAGAATCGGAAAAGCAAGACAAGCTTTCATCACTCTCAAGTCTGTGTGGAGGTCAACAGCACTCAGAAACAAAAATAAGATCCAGATTTTCAACTTCAAGTCAATGCTACTATACGGATCAGAGACTTGGCCAGTGCGTCATAAAGAGCATCTCAAACAAACTACAGACCTTCATTAACAGTCGCCTTCGCTCAATACTCAAGATCAGATGGCCGGCCAGGAAAGATCAGCAACAGGGATCTCTGGGAATGAGCGAACCAACACAGCAGGAACCGATTGTGAAGCAAATACGCAGGAAGAAATGGAGATGGATTGGCTATACTCTGAGGAAACCATCAAGTGACATCACTAGACAAGCCATTGCTCTAGTGGAACCTGAAAAGGAAGCGGCGAGTTGGTCATCAGTGAGAGGGTGACATGGAGGGGGTCATGTGAAAAGGAGATGAAAGTATGTGGGAAGATGTGGAGCCATGTGAAAACTATAGCAGACAACCGAACGGAACGGAGACGTGGGGCTGAAGCCTTATGTTCCTCTAGGAATTAAAGGAAATAATAATTGTCTAGGTGCTTGACCTGTAACCTATAGTTTACAAGTTCTAACGGTGCTCTGTCCACCGAGTTTTGGGCGGTTAGATAATATCACTAGCCTTTACACTCTAGGTGTATGTGTGTATATGACTCATTGCCGATTGCCTGGAAATACAACTGATTTTCGCATGTTGTACGAAAGTGTCAGTCAATGAAATTATTTGCGTATCTGTTATATTTCATACATAATGACAATTGACATGTACTTCAAAGCCGCGTAGAATGCATATAGGAAATTTGACCATGTGGTTGTTCAAGTACTTGACTTATTTGTGAGTATATATAATAATCCTATTCTTTTGTCATCAAATAAATCTGCATATGACTGCCGCCTCGGTTGGCTCAATGATAGAATGCTCGCCAGCTGCAGACGCTATCCGGGCCCGATCCTCAGATGACGTACTTCTAAACTTCGCCTTGTTTTCCAGCACATATACTTGTAGGGAACGAAGTGCTTCCCCTAAGTGAATAATGAATGCTTTTCCTTATGTCGTCCTCTTACCAACTAACTCCAGTAACCGGTGGACGATTTTTTTAGAACCATTTTCTTCCCTGTGTCGAATCCCTTTTAGGCTTTGGTATTTTATGAATTTTCTGACTTGGGAGGTTCATACATTGATCACATCCTTTTCTGTTCTCTTACTACTCTTTGTCAAGGTTATATACTCGTAATCATATTATATATGTGTCTTTTGATGACAAGAATGTAAAGTGTTATAATAACTTTTGTTTCACTGACTGTTTGTTTTTCTTTCAATAGCTACAACCTACTGCTTTGAACAACTCCCCTGGTTCACTGGAACATGATCCGTCTTATTTATATCTACGAGATGGTGTGGCTAGTGTATTAGTAAGTTTGAGCAATCTATCAATATATATCGATTTTTTTCCTCTCTTCCCTATAAACTTTATTCTTCAGTCAAGTCATTTGTGATTGAAGGTCTTTAGATTAGAGGTTATTGCACAGCATATTTTAGAAATTGTTGTGTTTAACCACTTATCTTAATGAAACGGTATCTCTTTATAGTGAAATTGTGTACACCTTATCTTCAAATCACCATTTGCATAGATCTTCCGTGTTGTACTACTTCTGGCCTGCCTTCATATTGTGTGTATATTTCTTTGTGTTCCTTTCACATTTCCCATGTATCTCCACAACTTTGTGTCATTTGCTTTCTTTGACATCGAATCTATATCCCTGTTATTTGATGTTTTTATGCCGATGAACATCTCTTTATATATTTATACATACTACTGATAAATGTTATCAGTAGCATACTGCATAGTTTTACTGCTGTTTATTTGAATTGGACAGTTTCTGCCTTTTGGTTGTGAAAAACACAAGTTAAAATGCCAATGGGACTAAATATATATAGTGCATCATAGAACATATAAATGACTTGACTGAATTTCAACCTAGAACTGTACACTGAAATATGCCAGTTCAGCTTGCCACACCATATGTAGGAAACAAGCATAGAGAAACGAAAATTCAAATGAACACTAACAAATCATGATATTCTATTTTAAATTAATCCAATTATTGTTGTTGTATTCATTATTATTATTTCAGGCTACTGATGTAATATTTACGAATCTATCTAATACAGAGGATGAGTTCAATGAAAATGTAACACTGACAGCGGGAACATTATTTCATGGTCCATCTGATGTTATGTCGACTAGTGGAGTATTCTCTACTTCGAAATTTCACAATATCAATTCTACATGTGATAGTAGTACTCTTCTATCATTCAGTCATAATTCTAGTCATTTCTCGAATACATCCTTATCATACGCTTTGCAACTGACTGGACCTATGCCTGTTAATGTTGCTGTGATAGACGCTTCAATTGAATTATTCGGCCGGTTATTCGCCTGTGTTTCTATTCGTCATCGTATACAAATGTTAGAGCATTTTGCTGAATGTATTCGTTTGACAAAGTCAATTCGTCAAGAAGCTGTACAAATTAATGTATTCGCTGGCCTGTTGAGTGCATTACGATATTTAGCTGAAACGAAACTACCATTCGGTGATGATCCACAGCTTAGAAAGGCGACTACAAATTTAATATTTGTAAGTGGATGGATGCCTCTTTTTAATTGGCATATTTTTCATCCAACACCTTTCTATTTTTTCTCTCCACTCCCCGTGCTTTTTTTTTGTCTTGTTTCAGTTTGCCTAGTGTTTATCCATCTCTCAAGTGTGAGCTCTAAATGCGTTACTTAGAGGGGGAAAGAGAGAAAGGGGAGGGATGGAGAAGTAGTCTGAAATCTAGAATTTCTCTTCCCTCGTCTTTAGTCTACTAACCAATCAATCAATCAATTAGTAACATGTGACTACTATAGAAGAATTTGTAGGCATGCAGGAGAATTTTTTGTAGCTTTAATTGCTTACTACTATTATTATTACTACTACTACTACTACTACTTATATCTTGGCATGAAAAGAGGATGAAAATAGATTTCGGAAGTGTATTTTCTTGTAGATTAGGAAACTACTATTGGGTTAATTGCCTCAAATTTTGATTGTCTCTTAAGTCATTTCACTGGTAGTAGTAGTAGTTTTACTTTCTAAGTGTTGGTTTGTAGGGATTTAATTAATTGGTTACAAGATTTCATCACCAGCTGACATCGGTTAGAGAAACATTAGAAAACCAACAGAAAGTATTGGGCAGTTGTTTCGTCCTAGTTTGGGATCTTTCACCAGCACGCACCCACCCACTGGGGGTTCGAACCTAGAACCTTCCGGTTACAACCACTTGGACCTGATACAATTACCTATGAATTCCAACTTCTGCCAATTCACGATATAGTGGGACCACTAACTGATGTCATCGGTGGCGAGTATTTGTGCATACACACGACCTGTTGTACCCCATTGGTCACGATTTCCCACTAGTACCCATGTAACTACCTACCTGAAATTTTTTTGCATGAATTCCGCCTACTAAAGGACCAAATACATCTTTGTATGTCAAACTTAATCTTTGTGAATATTACTGTTTCACTGTATGTATGGTAGATCTGTTACACAAACTTTGATAATTTTCTTTCCTCATAAAGCTGACCCATCTTATATAATTTATTTATTATTTTATTTATTTCTGATTACAGCTTGATCCCACACTGTATTTCTCGTACAAGTATGGAATTTTCAGCATGGATATCGGTAGCCCAAATCTTGAAGGCCGACCATAGATATCAGGTGTGCGTTGGCAGGGGATCGAACCTCAGACCATGTGCATGGTCGGTGAGAGTCCTAGCCACTGTACCACCGACTCAAAAAACAGAGGATAACTAGTGAATCTATATTTATGTTCTTCTATTCCTCCCGAAAATTTTCACCATAGCCATCTCTCTCTCTCTGCACATATATCCCATGAAATGAGTACCATTTATTTTTCAGAAGTCGTAACCCTTCTATACTGAAATGAATTTTTCTGTATCGAACCTTAATGCACAAAAGTTCATCAATCTAATTTGCCATATATATCATGAAAGTACGTATAAGATTAGGGAGCAATGACATGTAATAAATGAAAGTGTATACAGCAGAAAGAATAATCAATTGGGAATACTTAAAATTTAATTCACCTGGAAGTTGACGAAGATTGAATGCATCTGCTGCACCAATCAGCAACGATTTTCACACTTATCACCAACAGCCTGCTAACATTGATTCTTAGCACAATATGAGGACACCAGTCAGCCAGTTTACACACCTTCCTACGTAGCTGGCTTGAACCAGTGGTCAAAGGCTTTATAGACTGATGCTATGTTTCGCTCTGACTACCCCTTCCCTAACTCTTTTCCAACTTGATTATGTCCTAGTTAACATTGCTTGTTGAGGAAGTTGAAGACGACTTGAATTACGTAACGCATGTCTGAATTATCTCTCAATCTATACAGTTCTACAGACACATCGATTGGTTTCCTCTGTGTTTATTTATCTTATATTTAAACAGTTTAACATCATTTAACTTCGTTTCAACTATAAGCTCCTATTAAAAACATAATATTATTATGTTTTCTGTCTTGTCCTGTAAACAGGAAGAAGAAGAAAAACTAAATATTGTCTAGAAACATTCACTGTCTATTAATACAATTTTTCAATCAAATTATATAGACACCATGCAGAAAAGTTAATTTAATTTCCAAGTATTGGTTTTGCTAGGATTTTGTTTGATTACTTGGAGAATTTCATCATGAGCTGACAATATTTAGAGAACCGTTGGAAGTACTGGACACCCGTTTCGTCCTAGTTTGTGCCTCTGGGACTCCTGGGTTCGAGTCCCGGTGGGTGCGTACTGATGAGGAGTCCCAAACTACAATGAAACAGCTGGCTTTCCAGTACTCCCTGGAAGTTTTGAAATGGTCCTCTAACTGATATCAACTCATGCTGAAATCCTCCAAACATTTTAATTTTAGCAAATACTCCATTCATTAACTCAATACATGCCTTTTACTCACTTTGTGTTCAAAAGGTTTCATATTATCATCCAGGTAGTGGGATTATTATAGTTGGAGGTGTGGTGCGATGAGCATTGATAGCTCCTGCAGTGCTAACTGTTTAAATTAGTGAGTCATACAGAAAATGTAGCTATATTTGTAGGCGAATAAGTGTACTGTCTTCTGTGTGTGTATACATAAACATAACACTTAATGGAGTATACAAATATTCCTTTATATTTGTTAGTTCTTATAGAATTCTATCGTATGAATTGTCTTTTTCTGAGTAGTAGTTGATTAGTATCGAAGGCATATTGAATCACATCTTATTTTAAACGATCTCCACGAACACTCTTAACTCATTCGTACCATTGGAGAGTCCTGTGTTGTACAATCATTCTCATATTTTGCATTGTAGAGTTATTTACACTGGATGTACTTTATATATATAAGGCCAAATATCAGTTAAATGTTAACTGATACGGCTACTTGAGCGGATGCATATTAACACAGTGATCAGAGACAACCACTAGTCCCCGTCTCACAATATGTGGCTCATTTAGCCTAGCGTATAATACTTTAGCGTTTGAAATGTGATGGGTGCTGGGTTTCAAGTCTCAACTAGAGCACAACCACTCTCTGGAGATGCAAGTATACATCCGTCTGACGTATCTCAAACAGGTTGAAGCGTGTGTCCTGGATTCCACTGCTACTGTGATATTACGTAAGAGTTCAAAAGAAATGCATGTTATAAAAAGTCAAAAGAAACGAAAACAAACTGTAGAAAGCAACAAGATCGTTACTATGATAATAGAAGTGGTTGAATAATCCTCTGAATGTGTAGACCTTCAATAATACAAAGGAGATAAAAGTGTATTGTCCTAGGCAGGTTGCTCTTCACTTTGTGGATTACTTTGAAGGAAGAGTTTGTTGAGAGAGGATGCCCGTTATCGACGAGGTGCTCCTCAATTATCACACTCCTTAAGGAACCATTCCCATTTTTCTGCAACCATGAGGGATAGTGTTTTTGAACCTCTTTAGACAGGATACGCGCCGAACAACCAATACACCTGTCTCCCCAAGGGAAGGTCAAGTAATTTTTTTTTCAATATAAAATTGGTTAGATGCGAGATCTTGTCTTTCAGTTTTCTGGTGAAAACTACTCCTAGCGTTTTGTAGTGAAGAGTGTTTTTCTCAAGGATGCTGAAATTCTCCCCTTAAGGACATCACAGCCTAGCTCTCATCTGAAATTGTATTATTATTTTATTCCTTAACCTTCCCCGTGGAACATAGGGCTTCAAGCTAGAGCTTTGAAATTTAGGTAGCAGTAGTTTTCTTTTTACGAAGTGAGGTTGCTAGTCTCACACTCAACCTTCCTCTTTGCTGGCCTTCTTACCAGCTTAGTGAGGTTAAGGAGTAAATTAGCTGGGAATCGAACCCTGGACCACATGCGGTATTGTTGGTTAGCGTTCTAACGCTAAACTACTGACGCATCCTCACTTGAAATACTGCTTCTTTGATACGAATGATGGTTCGTTGTTTCCCTGATTTTTTGATTTAATTTTCCTCTCAGTACATCTCGATGGGTTCATCATGTTTAAAATGACCTATTTCAGCTTTATCATTCATTTATTCAATAAATAAATAAATATGTAGACTCAATAGTGTGTCAGTAGCACAGCGGTAGAATGCTCGCCAACCAGGCGTGTGGTCTGGGGTTCGATCCCCGGCTGACACACTCCCTTGCCTTGCTAAGCCAGTAATAAGATTGGTAAAGAGGGAAGGTCGGACTTGAGGCTAGTGACTCCATTTTGTAAAAATAAACACCACTGCTGCTGAAACTTGAAGCCCTATGTTCCACTGGGAACGAACAGGAATGAAAAAAATGATGACTCAGTTTGGTGAATAATAAATTGGCGAGATGTTCATCCAATAAATCACTGTTATCATTTGGAATTCATGTCGATTAACAATTTATGTCGAATTATTATTATGTCCGTATCCTTATATATATACATGTATATGGCAACTCATTAGGTAGGTATATGTCTGTGTTGTCTGCGTGCCTACGTGTGTGTGTGTGTGTGTGTGTGTGTGTGGATTTTCGGATGAATTATAATCTTTTACTATCTTTCTCTCAGTCTTTCACTTTCGAATAAAATAAAACTATATGTAGGCCAATTTTTTCTAGTCTAGATTATATGGATATCCGTATCCACAGAATCCTTCATTGATCAATGGATTACAAAGGAGTATTGTCTACGATGTAAGTGTATTCATGAAATCAGTGATGATGATGACGATTTGGCGGGTGTAATCACCATTCAAAGGTGTAATGATTTCTTTTCTCTTTTGTTTTGAATAATAATAATAATAACACCAACAACAACTGCAATTTAAGTTCCTATCGTTGATATTCACTAATCACCACCACACCTATCATCATCACCATCAGCTAGCTAGCTAGCTGACTAAATCTAACCAGCAAAAGCGAATTTCTCATTTCTAATATTTTCACCTTACGCATAGTTTTGGTGTTGTTGTTGTTTGTTTCTAATGCGCGCATATTTTATCAAGTTTTGCTAACCAACCTTCCTTTTGCTTCCTTTCCTCCTTCTTTTCTTC